CCAAGTTTTCACCTCGATAACATTATTAGCTTCCTAATTTAGATAAATAACGTAAACGAAAAACAAAGTTCAAAGATTTTTAACGAGGACAAGAATAATAGATAAATTTACTATTGCCATTCCTTACTTTAGTCTTTAGAAGTTTCATAATGTTTTGATTCGTCAGTACGAGTACCGATTTACTGACATCGACGATCATGCGTACGGTTGGTAATGTTGTTTGTAGATTTTGAGGATGTGGAGGCCTTATGGTAACAGGGACAGCACCGACATAAAGACAACCATAAAATGCACATATCAAATCTGTCCCAGGTGGAAATATCAATGCAACGTGATCCCCTGTGTTGATTCTTCCACGATCCAAAAGAAGATTCCCAATGCGTTCGGCTTTCTTGTGCAATTGAGAACACGATAACGAAGTTGCAACTGCTCCTTTGGCATTGAGTGATGTGAAGATGACGTGATCAGATGTACTGACAGCACGCCAACGTAAAATCTCCGAGATGAATTGATACTGCAAAACCATAATATTATTATTAGCTTTAATAATATTCAACTATGTATGATTAAACGAAATAAACGAACCTTCTTGGCGTTATCGCTATCCTCATCCAAAACACCCATGTCACGTCCTTGAGCAGAAGCCAGTCTATTTCCTTGAACGATGTTGCCAACCATTACGCTCGCCGGACCAACGTCTGCAACAGAATCCCCCGCTACACGCCCCCGCACCATTCCGTTAGTAAACCAACACAAACACTCAACCCGGTAATGAGTAGCTCACACACTCTCCCCTGACTGAGGCCGGAAAATCAAAGCTAGGATCAAAGATTCGTTGCTGTTGAGCACCTAGAGTACACGCTCTCTATTTTTCGTGGTTGGAGCATTCCATGGGCAGCAGGAACGTAGTTAAAACTGTTTGCTTATCAACCAATATAGTAAGTTTAAAATAGCGATGTGAAAATTTTTTCTTACATGTGTATGTATAGTGTTACACATGTATAGATTATGTTAAATGTCGTGTCATTTCTATTTGCCAAAGAATAATCAGATATTTATAAAATCATAAAGTTCAACGATCAAAGGACTTTCTATTTTATTTTTACATTTTATTTTCCCTTTCTTTCTTTCTCCTTTTTCTTTTTTTTTTCTTTTTTTCGCATCGCTATACGTATTTGTACTATAGGTTCTGGACAATGCTACAGGATATTCGGAACTCAGCCAAAAGAAAGAAGGGCAACAAACTAGAATAACATGCGAAGCACAGATAATTGAGGATAAATAAAAAGAAGAGAGAGAGAGAGAGAGAGAGAGAGAGAGAGAGAGAGAAGAAAATTAAACGAAAAATGGAAGGAAAAAATACATAATATATAGCAAATAAATGTTACGTAGCAGAAAATCTGTGCCAAAAAAATTGCTTGAAATTATTCATGTAAGCACAACAGCCTTTTGTAGTGCCAATTAAAAAATAAGAAAGAGGGATTTCATTTGTGATTATTTATATAATAAACTTAACAAATTCTAACGCTCATTCTCTCTCATTATTCACTCGTATATAATATATTTATGCGAAATGATTCAAAAAAAAAAAAAAAAAAAAAAAAAAAAAAAAAAAAAAAAAAATAACAATGGAGTATGTAACTTTTTTTCTTTTCCTTTTTTTAGTTACTTAATACTTATGACGAGGTTGTGTTAAAAGGAGTGTTACATGTGTCCATATATTTTTTCGAATCACTGCATGCGTCATTGTAATAGAGCAAAGTAGAGAAAAATAATAATAATAGTAGTAATAATAATAATAATAATAGTAATAATAATAATAATAATAATAATAATAATAATAATAATAATAAATTAAAAAAAAAATAAATAAAAAGAACAAAGACAAGGAAAAAAATTATGAGACATTGAGACTTGCCTATGTAATACCTATGTTTTCATTAGTATATCCGCTACTCTTTAGGTACAGCCGCTCGTGCGTTTGAACGCCTGCATTGTTAAATATAATGGCGTTATTGCGTTATCCGATAACCACTTACCCGAATGCACTTCACGCGGTTTTGGTAAGTTGGTAACACAAGTGTGGGGGCAGAGCAGGACGTTAGCTGGATGTAGTGCACCTTCTAGAAAACGTCTTTTAGTTTCAGACAGGTGAATACCCCCAAGTGGTGTTTTTGGTAGATAATTAGGTGGAACTAATGCAAGACAATAAATTCCAACTGCGTGAATTGAATCGACCGCTTGCAAAACACGTGACATCCATTGAAAACTCTGGATAAAGTCAAATCAAATCCAAATCAAATTCAAATCAAATCAAATCAAATCATATTAAATCAATATTAAGATTAATTTATTATAATAAATATAATCGATTAATAAATAATAAAAAGTTTTACCTCTTCCTCGCTACAATCGGGCCGCTGCTCAGCAACGACACATATCCTTTCGTCTCTCAAAACTCTTACGCTGAAGACAGCTATTCTACCACGATAAATGAATTTCATTGGTTCCACAGCTAAAACGGTAGCTATTATATCGTCCGCATTATGTTTCCTTCCTGTCACGGTCATAAGACCATCGCGAGATCCACAAACGAATACCAAACCACCAGGGCCAAGAAATCCTAACAAACCAGATCGCGTATATTCCACGTCGCTTAATGGAGTACTATCCGCTTGTAAAGGTGATACTTTGAAAGTATTATTTGTTAATCCTTGCAGTCCCCAATACTGGCTACCAGTTGCAGCACTATGGACGCATATTTCACCAACCTCATCGGTTTTACAAATGTATGGCTTTCCTTCCATCTTAACTACCACTACGATACCTGCGTGAAAACGAAAAGAAAAAGAGAAGAATAAAAAAACGAGAAAAAAGAAGAAAAAAGAAAAGAAAAGAAAAAAAGAAAGAAGAAGAAAAAAAAAAGAGGAGAAACGAGTATTAAACAAAGCCAATGAATATGGTTTAACGATAGAGATAGAAGAAGAACTTACTTCCTGGCATAACTTGACCACAATCTTGTAACGTCAGTGAAGTCAATGAATTTTCTTGATCTACCCTAACAACACCGTAGCTTAATCCTGACATAGAAAGGACACCACGCCCAGTAGCATTTACTCCTGCTCGGCCAGGTCTTCTGACAGAAACGGTAAGGGCTTCGCTAGAGGATGCGCAAGGACATACAGCGTCTGGTCTTAAACCCTTCGATTGGAACACCGAAAGAAATTGATCACAAGAGGAAAGGGACCAAGGATTGGCACCGTCAGCGACTAGTAGCAACCTCAATGAGGATAATGATATATCCTTGTGATCTTTGGTCGCTAATAAACCCCAATGAAGATCTCGTGATTTAACAACAGCTACGCTAGCCCGATGTTTCGTTATCATTTGCATCCAACTAGCTGGATTGACCTTCATCAAGGCATAAGGTATAAATATAACGTGCATCCCATTTAATACGCTAGTAAGAGTGCTATGCCAGAGGCCAACTTCCCGTTTAAAATCTAACACACAAACGGCATTTTCTCCTTCTGTATAACCGCATGCTTGAGTAAGGGCACGACAATGAACAAGCATAGCTGATCTTGTCACTGTCACACCCATCACCGATCCATCCTTTACTGTAGTATACTCGATGTAAGCTGGTGTATCGTCGGTTAAACGAGGCGGTGGTAACCAATCTTTTGGAGTTTTACCTAAATGTTCTGTAACGAACCAATGTAATTTTGGCCAACCCTTGAAAGCTACAACCTCGCCAGCCGCTGTTTTCGGTAAACCTTTGAGACAGGCCTCGCTGGTTAGGGCCACCTGATAATATAAAATCAATCAAATTTATCATTTAATTTAATTTGATTAAATTTAAAAACATTAATATATCATTTCTATATTTTCTATTCGATTTACCTGTATTTCACAACTACCAAGAAGAAAACCAATCTGTTGGGAACCTGCGTCTCGACGTGTCAATGGTACCTCGATCGGTACGGGGACGATACCAGCTTGAAGGCAACCGTAAAATGCACACATGAAACTTATCGGATCGTTGTTCGGATATACCAAAGCGATTCTATCTCCAGGCTTGAGACAACAATCACCGCCACGGCTTAGAGCCTTGTTTAAAAGTGTATAGGCTATTTTATGGGAACGACTTAAAAGTTTTCCATATGTCAATGTGATGCAGAGTTTGCCGTTAGGATCTAGAACGGTTGCGACCGGTGCTTTGTAACTTGCTGAACCGTACCTTGAAAAAATAATACTTTATCATCATCATCATCATCATCATCATCTTTGTTATTATTATCAGTTGTGATAATATTTAGATAAAAAAAAAAAAAAAAAAAAAAAAAAAAAAATAATAATAATAATAATAATAATTTGGAACGTTAGCGAGGATAAATCCTATTCATGGGCATAATATTAGCTTATAAGACGGATATGATTCATCTTTTGAATCATATTTATCATTCAACTTTGATAAACGGGAAAAAAAATGTTTTAGTGGTAATGACTTTTATAAGAGAAGACATACGTATTTATACCTTTGAATAGCGGCTTCGAGTGATCTAGGCAGGCCTGACGGCACGGACAATGGTTCACCGATCGCAGACGTCATCGAACCACCTTCCGGTTTTGGTGCATTAGGATCTTTCGGATTAGCAGCTATCTCGAGCTCTATATCGTCGTCCTCGTAAAATTCAGGAAGTGGCCGTCTCTTTGGCCGTTTTAACGTATTCAATAATTGTTGAATTTTCGCTGATACCTTCCAACGTCCAGTTGTTCCAGTATTATTTTGATCCTCGACTACGTGGTAACGATTGACACGATCGGCACCAGGCCGTCTCGTAGACTGTTGTGCCGTTGGCGTACTGCCCGTGTGTGTTACGTCCGGTGGTTGTATGTTACAATAAGCATGAGGCGTATATTCGGCGATGTCAGTAATGTCGGCACCAGGTGGCCTCCTTGCCGGTGGTCTTGGTGGTGGTGGCGTATCACGTGCTGATCCGGTACTGCTAGTGTCTGATAAGCCAGTACCTAATTTTTAACATTTCCCATTCATAATATCTTACATACTTTTAATATTTATTTTACTTCGTAGTATCAAATCCCGTAGAATATCTAATATCGATCGAAAATATTATGACACATACATACATACACACACACACACACACACAGACGGGCACACAAAAAAAGAAAAGAAAAAAAGAAAAAGGAAGAACGATTATATCTATTGCAAAAAATAAATATTTAACTTGTCATAAAGAAGAGAATTTTTAAATTGCAAGGATAAAAGATTTTGATGTTCATTTTGAATGACAATGACTGACACGTTCCTTTGTTTAAAGGTCAATTTTTAATTTAGACAAATTAAAATGAAAAAGAAAAAGAAAAAAACAAATGAAAATACCTATACATCTGTTTGAAGTATCTCGAGGCATAATTTTCTTTTTGTTCTTTTTTCTTTCTTTTTTTTTAACCAAGTGTAAATTTTTAAATTGTATAAAAATAATAATAATAAAAAAAATATATATATATATATAAAAAAAAAAAAAAAAATAAAAAATAAAAAAAAATTAGAAATAAAAAAAACAAAATTATCAAATTATACCAGTTGGACCACCAGCACCAGGACTCTCTTCCGTTACGACACTATCCTCATCGCTACTAGATTCTCCGCTATCGCGACGTTCTCGTTCAGGACTTCTAGCCATGACGGAAGTTCTCTTCGATGGCATTGGCAAGGAAGGTTTCGGCCGACCTTGCATAGCTGCCAGGGCTTGCTGTACCGCCTCCTGACGTACCTCTGAACATTTCCAGTAGGATCAACATAGAAGAAATCGATCAATAATGATCTTATATATTATTATTATAATCGAGATAATATCTATTAACGATCTCATAAATAATTAAACGTACACATTGCCAATCATTCACGAGACTTTTTACTTTTCCTCTCTCTTTTATTTTTTTTTTTTACTGTATAATAAAAATTTACGAACGAACATTTAAGCGGACTATTTGAAATATGTTTGGCAAAGCGTTATATATATATATATATATATATATATATATATATATTATATACGTACATATATATATATATATATATATATATATATATTATATACGTACATATATATATATATATTTTTATTTTTTTCTTTTCTTTTTCTTCATATACACTTCTATTTATTTGATCAGTATTTTTAATAATTAATGTAAAAGTATCTTATAAAATGAATGGTCGATATAAAATAATTATGTGTCAGGATTGCGTTAGGGTTGCGTCAAGTTTTGTGTCACTTTTATTACGTACCGAATACTGACCCAATAAATAGCAACCTTCATTTAAAAAAAAAAAAATATATATATATATCAATTTTAATTATAAATAAATAATACATATATATATATATACATATATATATATATTATTTATTTCAAACTAAATTCTCGCGTGATATAACGTCCAATCAGGCTAAACTCAGATATAGTTGGCAAAAAATGAAATTTGACATAGTTATACGGTATATGTAATAAAAGATAAACAAAAAAAAAAAAAAAAAAAAATAAAAAAAATAAAAAAAAAAAGAAAAAGAAAACAAACAAACGAAACCAAAAAGATAAGAATCAAAATAAATAAATAAATCAAAAAAAAAAAAAAAAAAAAGAAAAAAAAATAAATAAATAAATAAAATAAAATAAAACAAAAAACAAAAGAAAAAAAAAAGATTAAAAAAACAAAAGAAAAAAAACAAAAAATAAAAAAGGGAAAACGAATTATACTTGGGTATTGTCAAAATGCAATCAATACATAATAAAATGTACGGGCAGAAAGTAGCCGTATTTCCGGGTAAAGCATGCCGGTTTCTATTCGTTATTACAACATCATGCAACATCGGTACGTGGTTCGTTACGAAGTGCACTTACGCGTATACGCGCGCACACAGAAGAAACTCTTATAGAAATCATACGGTATGTTAGTTTGTAAGGATTCATCGAGTATGCGCGAGTACACGTGCGCGTATCTTCATGCCGGACGCTTTCCATGGACGGATACCGACTTATCTTCTTCTAGCTACGTCCGTCCATTTCGTTTGCTAACGGTGCACCAGGTGCAGGATTACTTATACATATATATATATATATATATATATATATATATATATATATATATATGTATGTATGTATAAGACTACGCCTCGTGAAAACATATTGAAACCTCCTTTAACATTTTCTTTACATTTTTCTTGTCTTTTTTTTTTCTCTCTCCTCTCCTCAATTTACTCCTTCAATTTATCTGCACGTTAACGTCGATCCCTGAATGATATTTTTATTTACATTTTCATTCGTCATTAATCGAATAAACAAACGAAGAATAAACAAACGTGTTTGAATTGATTATTATTATTATTATTATTATTATTATTATTATTATTATTATTATTATTATTACTATTATTGTTATTATTAATATTATTTTATTTTTTTGAAATTTGT